CCCTAATCCTTTCCTTGACCTCAACCCATGGTCATATCCATAACCCAATGCTGGGCATAGAATCATCATCTATTCAGTCTGTCAAGGTTAGGTGAAACAGGACACGGGCAGCAAAACCAGTTGAATTCTTCTTGAATGGGTAGAACTTGTAAAACATGAACTTCCCTAGTTTGTCCCTTAAGAGGCACACTTTCTCTAGAAATAGAGTGACCGCAAAAACACACCGACAAGCTGAACACCGATCTCAAGAGGTATTCAATGGATCTCTACACACAAACACAATACACACATGACATGAGTACAATTTGTTTATTTCCTATCATCTCAAAAACATATGTTGTACATTGCTTGCACTTAAAGGTACAAGTAATATATCCAGTTTAATATCAGTCCACACTTCAATGAGAGGTGACCAGAGCGTGAGTATACTATAGTTTGATATAAAGCCTCTTCAAGTTCTTCAAAAGCACTTCATAAGTACAATGAATTATTATTATTATTATTATTGTTATTCATTATTATCATCTTAAGCCTTCATCAGTAATGACATGTTGAAGTGGCTTTTCACCTGCTAGTGGAGGTCATGAATATGCATGATCACAGATGAAATAGATGACAGGGGATTTGAATGGAGTGATGTTAGTAGTCTCAAACTCAGCAGGGTAATGCCTATTATTGTGTGTACAGGTAAATAATCATGTCTCACACAGACATCATGTTTGAGTTGAGATATTTCCCTTTTTTATCACATAGACTTAATATCAGTACGGCATATGGCATATATACTAATTTCCCTGACTATCTTTCACAACACTGCATTTTGACGTATATTACGAGTTCACCAACAGTTAGCTAACAGGAACAGTATATAGTAAGTAGTACATGAATACATCAGTAGAAAAGGTCAACACACACAATAAGTAATATACACACTCACTACTTCACCTCACTGCGAATCCCAGATAAAGCACATATTTAGTGTGTGTGTGATGCTTGCAGCGCCATACAGTACAACAAGAACATTAGAACAGTCACTCTACTGCAAGTATAATGTACTAGGAGGACTATGTACAAGAAATAATTAATAAAATATTGCACTTGTTGGCCCATTGCACCCCACAGCCAAAGCTACGAGGATGCACTTAAACATAGACAATATACACCCTTATAGATAGAAATATAGATAATTCAATGTCTTCATGCAACTTTTCTTTTCTGTTTTACTATTCAGTTTCTAGGTTATTTGAAGCTAAAGGAGAAATGTAACTATTCACTTAATATGTAGTAGAGATTATCTTTACTGTGATTTACAGGACATGCTAAATGTAAAGGACAATTTGCTTCAGCCAATGATGGAGAGACAATAATAACATGATCCCTAAGCTGGTCAGGGATGTGGAAAAGGTGCACTAGTTTCTTAGAAAAGGGAACCCATATTGCAGGTATATGAAATATGGATGTGTTGACTGTTTTATAGAATATTGCTGTTTATCCAGTCAGACAGACCATCTATCATGGCTTCAGTATCCATCTGTCATAACATATCATATCTTGGCTGTGTTTAATTTTTGTATTATATGTTTTCATTCTCTTGAGAAGTGGAAATGAGCAGGTTGGCATTTATTGACATGACTCATGTACTGGAGGCAGCTCTGCGGAGTGGTCACTAGCTGGCACAGCCACAAAAATAAAATCTGATTTTAAACTTACCTTAACCCTAACCTTAACCACACTGCTAAGCCTAATACCTAACCCTAACCTTAAATTAAGACCAAAAAGCTAATTTTTGTTTTCATAAATTTCTACAACATAGACAATATTGATTTTGCAGCTGGCCTATCTAGCAGAAACCGCTCAGTTCTGCCTCCAGGTCAAGATTCATGACAATAAATGTAAATCTGCTGGAAATGAGGGAAGGGTTTATAGTTTGGGTAAAGCTAACTGTAAGGGTCTGGGTAGAAAAACACAACTTCGGTTATTGGCTATTTGACAGCACACTTGTATTATTCTTATTAAGGCTAGGAAAAGAGGATCTATTCAGTTTGCAGAAATGCAGACACTCATTAGATCACACATCAGGACTACTACTACTACAAATACACATGTAAAGTATAATACAGTACTCACACAGACACAATGCATGTATAGTATATTCATGAAATATGAAATAAATGTGGCAGGTGAGCACAAAGGAGAAGAGGCCATGTTGGAAATACTAAAAGGCCACATTTGTTTTTACCCAAGGTAGATGATTGAAAGTAGTCATACAGCCACACTCATTAACTCTTCCTAAAACACACAGGCACACGGTCACGCACGCACACACACACTGCAAACAGAAATCAACTACCACCTACCAGTTTGTATACAGTACACTGAATAATATATTTTGGCTGTGGCAGAAGACAATATGTAACAACAATACATAAACAAATGTAATAAATACATAAATAGAAGGATAAATAAATTAAAGCACTGATTATAACTGTGTGTCAGGAAAGTTTTAGGATGGACAGTAAAAATAGTGACAGCTATGGGTTCTCCTCATAGAATTAGAACTGATAACAAGTCTTTGAAGCCAGTTGGAAAGCTACTGTGCAGTACGTGCATTGACCACACATTGAATTCTAAAAGCCTTTACAAGCATCATTTTTGTGAATGTTAAGGTAAGCTAAAGAGGATAATGTATTTTTGTAGTGTCCTAATATCAGCCACACTGTAATAGGCCTACACAGACTCATCAGACATATTCTGACAGTTCCTCAACACAGCTATGGAGAGGGACAGACATTGATTGCTAGCCTGGTCACAGATCTGTGATCTTGCCAACTCCATTGTTGCCATTGCCCCGCTATGTTTGGCATGACAAATCCATAAAGAGTTGGCAAGAGAGCAGAACCAAACTGGCACCCAGGCTAATTGATTGCCATTGATGTACAATGATAAAAGCGGTCGGATGACACACCACACTGTAAAGGGGTTGCTGTGAATTTGACAGTAACTTACAGGCAGCTCAGTGGCAAGTAAAATTCTGTATTTCATATTACAGTACACCTACTATTATATAAATACGATATCAAAGCAAGTACTGTGTAATGACACACACAGTACAATATCGTAAAATGTACTGTATTATACTGCAAAAAAGTTAATTCTACCATAATCAGAATGAATGAATGGATGAAATTAATTGAGGGGAGGGGTTTGTATTTCACAGTATTTTACTGTAATTACAAGGGAGTGGTGCAAGCAAGTTGGCTGCTATGTAAAGTGTTTACACATTATAGCATATTAATGAATATTTGGTGTTTTGTGTCACTTGCACATCTAGAGGCCTTAACAAAGGTTTCCAAACTGACAGCGACTACAGGGCAAAACAGACCAAAAGGACCTGGCAAAATGCTTAACCATTTAAGGTTTGACTGGCTGCCACTCTAATCTGTCCCCTATACATTATGGATTGATGGGTCACTATCACCACATAGTAGTCAAATTGGTACAGCATTCTCACTCGCAGGTGCAACCAATATAGCCTCTTACAAGGCACGCCTCAAAATATGTTAAAGGGAAAATTACCTTCTTGTATGTTTTTCATTAGTCCACCGTTGATACAGTCCCATATGTTTTTGCATGTCAGCAATCAAGTTTTCAAGATATATAACTTTTAAAATACAGAAAGTGTCACAGTATGATGTTTTTTCTATATCTTGAAAACTTGATTGCTGACATGCAAAACATTTAGGGACTGTATCAACAGTGGACTAATGAAACAAATACAAAAATATTGTTTTTGAGTGGCACAACAATACCATGCACCCACAAGTGGTCAAAAGGTTTTTGGCGCTCCAAAGATACAGTATGGTACTGTATTCTGTGGGGTGGAATTACAGTACCATTCAAAATACAGCAATTATTTCCCAGCCCACAACATTTACCACAATGCACCATAATATACAGTATGCTGTAGTAAAAAGTTTCAGAGTATTTTACTAATGATAATACTCAAAATGACTGTATAAATTAGTTTTCTGTTACAGTGCAGGATACAGAAAGACAAGTGTGCACAACTCCTGTCCACTAGGGATCAAGTCCTGCTGGTTTTCCTTCCATCCTGGCACTTAATTGATCAACTACTGTCACTGACTGGCCAGAGAGTGCAACTACAGCAGCTACACTGGTCAATCTCTTGACTAAAAGGCAAGGACGCAAGTCAGCCTTCACAGCAGCCCTCCAGGGCCTTAGTAGTGCACCCCTGCTTTAAAGGCCCAGTACAGTAAAAAAATGTCACTTTCCTATGTTTTATATATATTTCCATACTATGAGGTTGGAATAATACTGTGACTGTGAAAATGTCAGGCCGCCTGAAATTTCAGCCTGTTTTGGTGGAATGGAGTTTTGGCCTGCCTGTTGACATCACCAGGCGTTAAATAAGTTAATAGACCAATAAGATAGAGCGTTCCAAACCTCTCTGCCAATAACAGCTAGTTTTCAGTTTTCCCCTCCCCACTCACAATAACAGCAAGTTTTCAGTTTTCCCCTCCCCACTCAGACCACTCCCAGACAGCCCTAGCAAATTTCTTGCTTGAGAAATTGCTCTTTGCTAAGAAGCTATTTTGGTTTCTTTTTTACCATTTTAGTTGAAAACAATAACAGTAAGGTACTTTATTGTTACCAAGAAATTATATGATATTAAGATTCAAAACATGTCTGCATTGTACCTTTAAAACTATGGCTGTATCCAAAATGGCACCCTATACCCTACATAGTGCACTACTTTTGACAAGAGCACTATGTGGGCCCTGCTCAAAAGTAGTGCATTATATAGGGCAGGGGTTCTTAAACCTTTTCAGCTCGAGACCCAAATGAAAAATGTACCATCCTCCCATGACCCAAATCGTCCTCCAACGACTCAAATTAAGAAGAAATTGTGTGTGATTATAGATTATAGTATTCTGATAACTCGCAACCCACCTCTCACTCGCAACCCACCTCTCACTCTGATATAGGGAATAGGATGTCATTTGGGATGCTGACTACATCTAAGGGACTGGGTATCTTGGCAACACAGGAAGTGGGAGGAGCCACTAACAGTTGCAGGCGGGCTGCTGGAGGGGCGGGGCGCTGTCTGTCAGTTTGGTGCTGGGTGTTCCCGTAGTAACGGCGGTGTCAGTGTCCAGGCTTTCGGACATCCTGTCACAGATGATGTCAACGAGGCGCTCGAAGGTCTGCTTGACGTTGATGTTGTCCTTGGCACTCGTCTCAAAGAACTCAAAACCTGTGAATGGATAGAGAGAGAGAGAGAAAATTATAAATAATATATGAACATTGTTGATGATGTTTACAAGAAGTAAATTGTCCACATTCAGAAATCTCTTGATGTAATGTCTTAGTGGAAATGTAAGCCTGTCAAATACTGTAGGTCATGCTTACAAAAGCCCATGTAGGCACTGGTGCTGTGAATCAGCACGAGCTAACGCATTATAGATATTTGTATCTGACTGTTGATGATTCAATGAGTTCATTATTTTATCTCTGTTTATATAAAGTGTCCCTGATCAATGAAATGACAGCAGCTCACCCAGTTGTTCTGCCAGTTGTCTCCCGCTATCTGCAGCCACCACCCTCTCCTCCTGCATGTCACATTTGTTCCCAGCCAACACCACCTGGGCGTTGTCCCACGAATAGGTCTTTATCTGGGTCGACCTGCACACGCACACACACACACAGAAAGAAACAGGAACTAAAACTCAAAACAGAGCACTGCATCTATCTACTAGAAGCTCTAGGTGATAAGCTGATACAGTAAACAACAACACATCTCCTCCATCATCAGATCAGGACGATGAGGTGCTACTGTAGGACTGGAATCTGATAAACTGATTTTCGGAGAAACATTTCAGGAACACATTTCCCCTGTGGCCACACAGTAAGCAGGCCAGAGCACCAGCGGAACAAAGTAATGTACCTTGATGTCAGTACTACTCAGTCCAGATCAGACTGGTCATAGGAGTTGAGATATAGGTCAATTCACATCTAACTGTTGACTGATATATCTCACAATGACATCCCAGTCAAAAACACCTGCTCTGAACTGCCGTTTGCATTGAATGTTTACATATAATTGACCTCTAGGTTAGCCTATATTTAGTGTCGAAATGATTAACGATGTCTATGTTTATCTCTCCCAATTATTAGTTCTGTGTTTCAATGATCAATAACCAGGAGAGGAGAGAAGAGGAGAGGTGCAGCAGCATCTATTTCTGTGAAAAGCACAGGCGTGCCTTCGTCACTATCAGGACACAACTGCGTCACACACAGGAAATTAGTGTGTCAGGACAGGAGCTCATTCACACACAGCCTGGCAGGGAAGGAGCCGTTGCTATGGAAACCATGCATCTTTGCCCTCAACCTTATAACCAGGAAGAAGAATTGAGAATGGAGTAAAAGCCTACCATAAGAAGAAGTCTGTTTAGGTTGTTGGGTAGAATTATAAAGTATTGTTGTGCTCTGTCTGCTCTATGCTCTAGAGAAAACTCACTGATTTGAACAGCTCCAGGATAATACCAGTCATTAGCTACTGTAACTATACTGAACAAAATATAAACGCAACATGTAAAGTGTTGGTCCCATGTTTCATGAGCTGAAATAAAAGATCCCAGAAATGTTCCATACGCACAAAAAGCTTATTTCTCTTCAATTTTGTGCACACATTTGTTTACATCCCTGTTAGTGAGCATTTCTCTTTTGCCAAGGTAATCCATCCACCTGACAGGTGTGGCATATCAAAAAGCTGATTAAAGAGCATGATCCCTTTTCTGGGGAAAAACTCATTCTGATTGGCTGGGCCTGGCTCCCCAGTAGGCGCCCCTGCCCAATCATGTGAAATCCATAGATTAGGGCCTAATGTATTTATTTTAATTGACTGATTTCCTTATATGAACTGTAACTCAGTAAAATCGTTGAAATTGTTGCGTTTATATTTTTGTTCATATTACATGTACACAACCACAGGGAACAGAGATGTTTAACCAATCTCCTTTCTACACAGATGCCCCACACAACATACCAACAAACATTTTGTTTCACCTTGAGACAGTTAAGCAGTTTTGTCAAGTGCATCCATCAAAACATTATCTTTCTTAAACCATTCTGGTAGAGTTTATTCCAGAAACCTATTTTTTGTGACTGATTAAATAGACTCCTCTTGTGTTCTTATTTCTAGTCCTGAATAAATCATGTTGAATTCAGGGTACAGGAAACACTCAGTACAGGTTAGTGTAGGTATTCAGTATTCAGATGGAAATAGCTTGTGTGGTTTACAAAGACCGCGATTCATGGCTCTGCCCGGCCTCCCCAGGGACCCTCACACAGATGGGCCAGAGGCTCTCTGACAACAAGCTCTCTAATCAATACGCTTAGATAAGGAGATACTGACAGGGATGAAGGTCAGCTATTTGGGTCTGTTTCTTCACAGGGAGAAATCACAGGGAGAAATCTTATACTCATCCTGTCTCAATACAACCCAACAACAACACACCTCTTCTGTTGTCCTTGTCCATAAAGATATGTAGTCTTTGTGAGAATGTGGTTAAGATATACAGTACTTAATCCATCAAACAATATTTATTCATTTAATTTTTATTTAACCTTTATTTAACTAGGCATGTCAGTTAAGAACAAATTCTTATTTACAATGACGGCCTACCAAAAGGCAAAAGGCCTCCTGCAGGGACGGGGGCTGGGATAAAAAATAAAAAATAAAATAAAACTATAGGACAAAACACACATCAAGACAAGAGAGACACCACAACACTACATAAAGAGAGACCTAAGACAACAACATAGCATGGCAGCAACACATGACTACACAGCATGGTAGCAACACAACATGACAACAACATGGTAGCAACACAACATGGCAGCAGCACAACATGGTAGCAGCACAAAACATGGTACAAACATTATTGGGCACAGACAACAGCACAAAGGGCAAGAAGGTAGAGACAACAACACATCACGCGAAGCAGCCACAACTGTCAGTAAGAGTGTCCATGATTGAGTCTTTGAATGAAGAGATGAAAACATAACTTGGCATCTGAAGTTGCTTCCTTCCCTCGTGTATTTCATGATACATGATGTACTGACACAACATTGCAGTCTTACCAACGTGCTGATGAAAGCTGTAATGCTGGTACGTATTGGTTTTCGATGAGAAAAGAAACGCATGATATTCGTCTCCCATTTTCCTCCTAGAGAGGGTGAAAATGTTTTGTACCCCAGTAGAACTCACCAGTCCTGCACACAATGGAAGGACTCCTCATTGGTGATGTCATACATAAGGATGAAGCCCATGGCTCCGCGGTAGTATGCAGTGGTGATGGTCCGGTACCGCTCCTGTCCCGCCGTGTCCTGGAGAGATATAGAACATTGTTATTGCTGGTCACAAACACATGCACACACACGCACGCACACACACACACACACACACACACACACACACACACACACACACACACACACACACACACACACACACACACACACACACACACACACACACACACACACACACACACACACACACACAGTCACACAGATAACTAACAGTCACAGAGAAAGTCTCCCATCCTTCATGTGTGTATTTATTCTGGACCTGTTTGGCTGGTTGTGATTATCATATGCATAATGCATCGCTGACTGGTTTGGCTGGCTGTGATTATCATGTATGCTGCATCGCTGTCATTGATAGGATGGTCATTATCTATTCCCAGATTCTAGAGGTTCAAGTCTCCCCAGTAAATGAACCATGCACTGTGATCAATAAATCAAATCACCCAAAACGAGCTCTCTCACTCTCTCTCCATCTCTGCAGGGCCCATTCCAAACAGAGCAATTGATACACAACAGAGTGTCTGGTGATGTCTCCACACCCCAATGGGAAGCAGACCACTCATATCAAACAGTTTGATCCCATATACTGTAGCTAAGAATTGAAATAAATATATATATTTCAGAGGCCATGATTAGTGACTGTGGTGGCTGAGGCCTACTGAAAGTGCCATACTGTATTATGTAATGTCTATTGGCTTACAGTAAACATATTGTATAGGGCAACGCAGCAGTGTGCTATTGATTGTCATAGCTGGTACTCTAGTTAGCATATCAGTCATATAGCAGACTGGCTGATTCATCAAAAGGAAAATGGCAAATGGCCATTTTGTCTGATTTCCAACTCATGTTTGAAGTAGGTGGTTGGAGGGGATAAAATCCTACTGTCCTTTTGCGAAAACACTAAAACTATCTGTCATCTGTGTTCTGTAGGGGATTCTAAGCCAAAACAGTGCTGGGTTACATTAGCTACAGAGAGGCCTGCTCTGCTCTGTGAATATGGCTATAATTGTATCTGTGTGGTAGCCAGAGGACATCTCTGACCTTCAAAAGCACACACAGCTCAAAGGCTGCCTCCCTCCATCTCCTTCATACAGCAGCTGGGCTGAGCAATGGAAACCCACAATAATACACACTAACACATTGACGTACTGTATGTGCACCTGCATATGCACGTGCATGAGGGTGTGCAGGTGTGTTCTTTTTTTGTACAATACAATATGCACAGTAGGCCTATAGCATTACTAATGTTTTGAAAGGAAATCATTTTAGCCTTTTTCACACATTTTGCTAATGGTTCTCTTGTTTGGCAGACTGTGACATTACTTTACATGAAACATTCATCTAGACAATGATTTGACTGTTGACTTTTCTCTTGGCTGCATCCTGAGGACATACTGTCTGCATCCACACATTTCATTACCCTATCGATTCAGGGCCAAGTGCTTGACGATTACCTTTTTTTTTTTTTATATCTCTGGGCTATTTGAGTGGGCAGCTTTGCTTGTTCTTAGCTAAAAACACAGCAAGACAGAAAAATTCAGTAAATCCAGTGAAATCCAGTGAAATCCAGAGTCCAGTGAACATGTGCTCCATTAGAAACTAACTGAGTTTGACTGAGTTTGTTTATGCATCACCAAGGACCACACTGCAGTTTACAGTGTGAATAAGCCCAAAAAATTGACAGAACCTTTAGTACAGTCAGTGCAGAGTGACAGCAGGGATTGAAGGACATCTTATTTGAATCTTACTGGTCAATTCTGGTATACTGTGGCTCGTCAGGAATAGTACAGTTCTCAAACATGATTATGATAATACATAAAACTATAACCAGTAAAACGTAACTGTATTTGCAAATTACTATGAAACACAATTTCACATGTGATTAATCTTGCAATACCCACAAGGACATAATCAATTATTATGAAATGACCACTGAAGGAACAGTTCTCTCAAAAAGCCCAATGAGACAACCTAGAGCTATTCATTTGAATGCTCTCTCTGGCAATCCTGCCTCTGTTAGAACCTGCTTGTCTTTCCTTAACTGACAAAAACCCATTACCCTCATTACTCGTAATTTAAACTGTTTACATTCAACCCTGCTTTTCTGCTTCCTGTTAAAGTGCGTGTGATTTGTGTCCCATGCAAATCAGCTGATTAACTGCTACAGTACTGTCTGGGACCAATTAATTGGTGGAACAGACAGTAGATATGACAGCGAACAGCATTGCCTCTCTAGGAGAGAGTGAGAGTGGGCGTTTGGAGGAAGCAGGCTTTAAACTGTAGCCTTAGCTGCCTCAGAGGTGCTCAGAAACAAACTCCTCCATCTCCGAACCTCCTAATTAAAAGAGCCTTAGGCGAAGTCGGCCAACCACAGGAGAACACACAGTCTGAGAGGAGTGTTATTCAGTGATGATGTCCTTCAGCTAAGGGTTACTAGCATCCTGTAAACGATGACACATCCATCGCATTCAATCACTCCAGGTTCATACAGCGAAGTGGCACAAACCACCTCAAATGTAATTGTGACTGGATCCTAGTCTGCACATTGGCTCATAGAAATCTATAACAATGTAGATGTCAGTATCGTTACCTGTAAGCTTTAAGGGATTGCTTGTTTATAAAGTTGCCTGGTAACCGTAACAGGCATGGACAAAAAGGTTTGAAGCAGCAAACAATTATAGTACCAGTCAAAAGTTTGGACACACCTACTCCTTCAAGGGTTTTTCTTTATTTTGACTATTTTTTACATTGTAGAATAATAGTGAAGACATCACAACTATGAAATAACACATATGGAATCATGTAGTAACCAATAAAGTGTTAAACAAATATATTCAAAAATTCAAAATATATTTTATATTTGAGATTCTTCAAATAGCCACCCTTTGCCTTGATGACAGCTTTGCACACTCTTGGCATTCTCTCAACTATCTTCATGAGGTAGTCACCTGGAATGCATTTTAATTGACAGGTGTGCCTTCTTAAAAGTTAATTTGTGGAATATCTTTCTTCTTAATGCGTTTGAGCCAATCAGTTGTGTTGTGACAAGGTAGGGGGGGTATACAGAAGATAGCCCTATTTGGTAAAAGACCAAGTCCATATTATGGCAAGAACAGCTCAAATAAGCAAAGAGAAATGACAGTCCATCATTACTTTAAAACATGAAGGTCAGTCAATACGGAAAATATCAAGAACTTTGAACGTTTCTTCAAGTGCAGTCGCAAAAACCATCAAGCGCTATGATGAAACTGGCTCCCATGAGGACCGCCACAGGAAAGGAAGACGCAGAGTTACCTCTGCTGCAGAGGATAAGTTCATTAGAGTTACCAGCCTCAGAAATTGCAGCCCAAATAAATGCTTCACAGAGTTCAAGTAACAGACACATCTCAACATCAGCTGTTCAGAGGAGACTGCGTGAATCAGGCCTTCATGGTCGAATTACTGCAAAGAAACCACTACTAAAGGACACCAATAATAAGAAGAGACCTGCTTGGGTCAAGAAAGACAAGCAATGGACATTAAACAAAGATTCTTCAAACAGCCTTTGCCTTGATGACAGCTTTGCACACTCTTGGCATTCTCTCAACCAGCTTCAACCTGGAATGCTTTTCCAACAGTCTTGAAGGAGTTCCCACATATGCTGAGCACTTGTTGGCTGCTTTTCCTTCACTCTGCCGTCCGACTCATCCCAAACCATCTCAATTGGGTTGAGGTCGGGGGATTGTGGAGGCCAGGTCATCTGATGCAGCACTCCATCACTCTCCTTCTTGGTAAAATAGCCCTTACACAGCCTGGAGGTGTGGTGGGTCATTGTCCTGTTGAAAAACAAATGATAGTCCCACTAAGGCCAAACCAGATGGGATGGCGTATCGCTGCAGAATGCTGTGGTAGCCATGCTGGTTAAGTGTGCATTGAATTCTAAATAAATCACAGACAGTGTCACCAGCAAAGCACCCCCTCACCATAACACCTCCTCCTCCATGCTTTACGGTGGGAACTACACATGCAGAGATCATCCGTTCACCCACACCGCGTCTCGCAAAGACACAGCGGTTGAACCAAAAATCTTCAATTTGGACTCCAGACCAAAGGACACATTTTCACCAGTCTAATGTCCATTGCTCGTGTTTCTTGGCCCAAGCAGGTCTCTTCTTCTTATTGGTGTCCTTTAGTAGTGGTTTCTTTGCAGCAATTCGGCCATGAAGGCCTGATTCACACAGTCTCCTCTGAACAGTTGATGTTGAGATGTGTCTGTGACTTGAACTCTGTGAAGCATTTATTTGGGCTGCAATTTCTGAGGCTGGTAACTCTAATGAACGTATCCTCTGCAGCAGAGGTAACTCTGAGTCTTCCATTCCTGTGGCGGTCCTCATGAGAGCCAGTTTCATCATAGTGCTTGATGGTTTTTGCAACTGCACTTGAAGAAACGTTCAAAGTTCTTGAAATGTTCCGTATTGACTGACCTTCATGTCTTAAAGTAATGATGGACTGTCGTTTCTCTTTGCTTATTTGAGCTGTTCTTGCCATAATATGGACTTGGTCTTTTACCAAATAGGGCTATCTTCTGTATACCCCCCTTCCTTGTCACAACACAACTGATTGGCTCAAACATATTAAGAAGGAAATAAATTCCACAAATTAACTTTTAAGAAGGCACACCTGTTAATTGAAATGCATTCCAGGTGGCTACCTCATGAAGCTGGTTGAGAGAATGCCAAGAGTGTGCAAAGCTGCCATCAAGGCAAATGGTGGCTATTTGAAGAATCTCAAATATAAAATATATTTTGATTTGTTTAAAACTTTTTTGGTTACTACATGATTCCATATGTGTTATTTCATAGTTTTGATGTCTAGTAGTAGACATAGTAAAAATAAAGAAAAACCCTTGAATGAGTAGGTGTGTCCAAACTTTTGACTGGTAGTGTATGTTTGTTAAGTTTAACTACAAGTGTGTTTTCTTAACAAATTACTCAGGAGAAATAGAGAGAATGACTGCTTGACCAACCATGAGCCATCTAGTTACAACCTGTCACAGTCCTAGATAGTTATTGATCAAGAGTAGCTGACAGGGTAAGGGGAAGGGGCCTGGCTATGAAATCATAGTCTAATGTGGTTTACAGACCAGGGTCATTCGGTTAAAAGAAAGGGAGATTGGACAGGGGAGTTTCTTTTTCCAAACCCCCCTTAACAATTAGTGAAGGCTTTTGTTTATTGTTCAATAGAACCTCCATTAGCCCACTGTTAGGTTAGTCCTCCAAGACTCCTTGGGAGGCTAGAATACAAATGACATAAGAAGACACTGATTATTTCAATAGTTACGAGCTCCCTAAAGCCCCTTGGGAATGAATGAGAGTGCATGATTGTAGTGATGAGATAGATTGACAATGTCTGAAATAGGTTGACTACCCTAGGCTGATGCCGAGCCCCTGTAGGATAAGACTGAATTTGCCTCTAGAGGCTGATCTATGGTCTCTTATGTATTTTTTCCCTCTAATGGTTAGTGTTAGTATTGGGGTGATGTAAACTGATCGTAGATCTGTGCCTACGGACAACTTCTAACAGGAGCTAGTTCCTATGACTACTGTAGGTCAGGATGTCTCCTCATATGCATACTACTTATGAGCTAGAGGCAATACTCTGGTGATATCAAAAATAGATTGCAATGAGAGATACAAAATATTGAGTTTCTCCATGACGTGATGCAAAAAAGTAAGTTGTGTGTGGTTGCAACAGCAGAATCAATTTGAAAAGCTCAGCACTGCTTCAATGGCTTTTCTGGCCATTGTTAACCTGTTTTGAATGTAGCCATTTTCCAATAGTGGTAATCTACTAAAACTGGCAATGACATTTTGAGCTTAATACTTTTGAGTATTTAGATCAAATGATTTAAATTACTGTTCCTAAACCAAGGCAAGATAAGATCAATATTGCAGTTGAATGAATAGCTCATATTTGTGCACACTGTAGTTGAAAAGCTATACGTACATTAGACATTATCTATTACAATAGTAAGTACCCTGGACTTTAGAGACAGACTTACCCAGATCTGCAGTTTGATCCTCTTGTCGTTCTTGTAGACAGTCTTGACTTTGAAGTCGATGCCCACGGTGCTGACGAAGGCTGAGGTGAAGGCGTCGTCAGCGTAGCGGAAAAGGAAGGAGGTTTTACCCACGCTACTGTTCCCAATGATCAGCAGCTTGAACATGTAGTCAAAGTTCTGGTCCCCGCCCTCCTTCCCTTGAGTGGTCCCCTGTGTGGCAGCCATCTGGTAATACCAGGAGTCGCAGTGTCAAAGGTCATGACAAACTTAAAATCAACTCATTGGAATTAGAAATGGCACTATTTAAGGTTTAGATATGTTGCATGGAGGAGGGACGTCAAGGACGTGTAAAAGAATAATAAATTATTAAAATAATCACACACAGACACACACACCCCCAGCCTGGTCTCATAGACTAGATGTAACATAGTAAAAGTAAATCCTGGGACACTCAAATTAGTATGATATGTTACGTTTGGTATGGTTACATAAGACAGATGGTTACTTAAGGCAAAAATGAAAGTAGGGTGGTTGGTCGTATAACGAAAATGTCTAGCATCCCAAAGGTTGTGAGTTCAAATCTCATCAGGGAAAACTTAAGCATTTTAGCTAATTAGCAACTTTTCAACTACTTACTACTTTTTAGCTACTTTGTAACTACTTAGCATGTTAGTTAACCCTTCCTCTAACCTTTACCCTTTAACCTAACTCCTAAACGTAATCCTAACCTTAACCCTAACCCTAACCCCTAGCCTAGCTAACATTAGCCAGCTAGCTAACGTTAGCCACCTAGCTAGAATTTGTAACATATCATACGTTTAGCAATATTTTTACATATTCTACCTTTTGCAAATTTTTTACATATTTTACGTTTTGCAAAATCGTAACATATAATACAAATTGTAATTCATAACATATCATATGAAATGGGTGATGAACAACCACAAATTAATACATACCATACAAAACGTAACATATCATACTAAAAGGAGTCTCTCTGATTTACGTAAAGAATAATACTAAATGCTGTGAGACCAGGTTGACACAGCAGCCTCTCAGTTAGGTGTTAAAAGCACAGACTGTGTGTCTGATGACAGATGGCTGTGTGGGATAAACCAGAAGAGCACTACACACCCTGGGGAGTTGAAGAGTCCACCTGTGTTCTACATCCTCACATCTATGTGCCTGCCAATGAACATCAGTCAGATCCTTCACAAGCATTTCATACCCAGCAGGGTATGTAAGGTGTTTGATCAATTAGGCTTGGATTTATCAAGGGGTAGGCCAATCAATTCAACAATCCAATTACTGACTCTAGCAAAAACAAAAGGTGGAATGTTTAATCGTTCTTGCAAAATTCGTCATCATTTGTCAGCATTCTATAAAAATACAACTAGGCTACAGCAGACATCTTTGTTCCTAGTAGCCTTCATGTTTTCACTGTGCCTCAGCAATCTGCCATGTCAAGCATTTGCCTGTTCTGTTACACGGAGAAGGATGCTTTCGGTTTTACATCAAGCAAGCCTATAACTGCACTATTAACAACACTGTTCAATATTTCGTAAACAAAATGTCCTATTACCTTATGCAATAAGCTATACAAGGACACATAATTTTAGGTGTTTAATGTGCTAATTTCCCATTTGAAATGTTATGATGACGACGAAGATACACTCTTCCATTTTGCTTCACAGATGTAGTCCTCTTAAATTGGATAAAACCTTACAGAGTTTTGGATAATCGCAAATACACTGTAATCTATAGTAGCCGCCCTAGTTCAATCAAGTTCTTTCCGGAATTCTATCACAGTCTAGCAAAAAATTGACATGATGTAGAAAACATATCTGACGACATCATAGCAAACAAACCTCATTCGAAGACTTCGTGTCAGTCAGTGGCTTTTCCTAGTTCATATATCAGGCTATGTTGTTATATAAATTCTTACTGTAGGAGACGGTTCCGTTAGAGCCGCGACAATTTCAGCACCTCGGAGCTGTCCCTGTTTTCCGAAACTGAACGGTTGGAAAGCGTAGTAAGCACGTTCAACCACGTCAAAGTTCACAATATGGGGCTTGTAGTCTTTATAATGCCAAAAGCGTCCCAGGACATTGGAAAATTAAAGCGATGTGACTACATTATTCAGCATGCAACAAAGTCACTTTGACAACAACTGTAGGCCTACATCACTTTTGACAAGCTCAAGAAAACCATTTAAAACTGCATGAAGACTGCATTTAAAAAATAATGTTGATTTTTTGTGACCATTTTCATTTATCTAATGAAGTATTTTGGCAACTATAACATTTCCTCTGTGGCATTAGCAAAAACGATGCTTGCTTTTAGAATAAACAATATTAAATTTCAGAAATGTGTGTTAGTCTACTACATTAATTTGTTCAATGAAAATGTAATGTAATGTCAAATGTTCAATGTAATGATGATGTGTATTCTGAGTCCTGTATAGCCTTATTAAACCTGGGCTACTATACAGATAGATGCTGGTAAGATCTTACCTTCCCGTATAAATCCATGTAGGCTGTGCTACCCAATAATAAATAAATAAAACCAAATGTACTGTGATATGAGCAAAATGTTAATGAAAACTGTAAACCTCGACCAATATTACAAGACCTTCTTCCTGAAATTAATTATTTGTGAAGTCAATAATGGCTACTCGTTCTGAGCATCACTGCGATCGGTCCCTCATCCCCCGCCCAGAAATCATTTCCGCTCCAGAGAACAGTAAACAGAACAGGTGCACGTGGGTGATAGCGTCTCTCTGGCAGCGGCGTGCGGGGGTTAAGCAGCTGGACTGATGGAGTCAAGAGGTGCAACAATGTGTCAGTTATAATTATGCCTTTATCATCATGATGGAAAATAGATAAGATCATGATGGAAAAAGTATATAGGGGTAGGCCTATGATGCGAAAATACAGCAAATTCAAACATCTAGGTAGGTACCATATGGCCTTTATGAGATTTGCAATATTGACTATAAACCTTGGATGGGGGATGGGAGAAAATGTGGGAAATATTTTACCAATGTCACACAAGCTTGGATTCTTCACCTCACTCCCTCCCTCATATCTTCCTCTCATCTCAGCACCAAACATACAGGATGCTGAGACTGAAACTACAGAAATGTATGCCAAACACTGGTCGCTCATGGTGGTGTAGATTAAGCCTGGTCCTAATCTAGACTAAAATGTACTTCCAATGGGAATTCTCCATTAAAACAGGCCCTTGCCAAGGGGAAACTAGCATTTTGTATATGTCTAGAATACAGTGTTTTATTCAGACATGAAGTGCGAAAAATGCACATATAGTGGATTTTGACAAGTGTTGGATTTGTGCCACAAATCCTTAAAAGTTAGCATTTGGAGACAGTGGCCAGGTAAACAAAACCAAAGCATGGATTGCTGTCTTACCTTGTCCACAGACTGCTTACAGGGTAAGGAAACCAATTTTTAATTTTGTAATTTGGGTGAACCAGCCTACACCTACAGTGGGGAAAAAAGTATTTAGTCAGCCACCAATTGTGCATGTTCTCCCACTTAAAAAGATGAGAGAGGCCTGTAATTTTCATCATAGGTACACGTCAACTATGACAGACAAATTGAGATTTTTTTTCTCCAGAAAATCACATTGTAGGATTTTTAATGAATTTATTTGCAAATTATGGTGGAAAATAAGTATTTGGTCACCTACAAACAAGCAAGATTTCTGGCTCTCACAGACCTGTAACAGAGGCTCCTCTGTCCTCCACTCGTTACCTGTATTAATGGCACCTGTTTGAACTTGTTATCAGTATAAAAGACACCTGTCCACAACCTCAAACAGTCACACTCCAAACTCCACTATGGCCAAGACCAAAGAGCTGTCAAAGGACACCAGAAACAAAATTGTAGACCTGCACCAGGCTGGGAAGACTGAATCTGCAATAGGTAAGCAGCTTGGTTTGAAGAAATCAACTGTGGGAGCAATTATTAGGAAATGGAAGACATACAAGACCACTGATAATCTCCCTCGATCTGGGGCTCCACGCAAGATCTCACCCCGTGGGGTCAAAATGATCACAAGAACGGTGAGCAAAAATCCCAGAACCACACGGGGGGACCTAGTGAATGACCTGCAGAGAGCTGGGACCAAAGTAACAAAGCCTACCATCAGTAACACACTACGCCGCCAGGGACTCAAATCCTGCAGTGCCAGACGTGTCCCCCTGCTTAAGCCAGTACATGTCCAGGCCCGTCTGAAGTTTGCTAGAGTGCATTTGGATGATCCAGAAGAGGATTGGGAGAATGTCATATGGTCAGATGAAACCAAAATATAACTTTTTGGTAAAAACTCAACTCGTCGTGTTTGGAGGATAAAGAATGCTGAGTTGCATCCAAAGAACACCATACCTACTGTGAAGCATGGGGGTGGAAACATCATGCTTTGGGGCTGTTTTTCTGCAAAGGGACCAGGACGACTGATCCGTGTAAAGGAAAGAATGAATGGGGCCATGTATCATGAGATTTTGAGTGAAAACCTCCTTCCATCAGCAAGGGCATTGAAGATGAAACGTGGCTGGGTCTTTCAGCATGACAATGATCCCAAACACACCGCCCGGGCAACAAAGGAGTGGCTTCGTAAGAAGCATTTCAAGGTCCTGGAGTGGCCTAGCCAGTCTCCAGATCTCAACCCCATAGAAAATCTTTGGAGGGAGTTGAAAGTCCGTGTTGCCCAGCGACAGCCCCAAAACATCACTGCTCTAGAGGAGATCTGCATGGAGGAATGGGCCAAAATACCAGCAACAGTGTGTGAAAACCTTGTGAAGACTTACAGAAAACGTTTGACCTGTGTCATTGCCAACAAAGGGTATATAACAAAGTATTGAGAAACTTTTGTTATTGACCAAATACTTATTTTCCACCATAATTTGCAAATAAATTCATTAAAAATCCTAGAATGTGATTTTCTGGATTTTTTTTCTCATTTTGTCTGTCATAGTTGACGTGTACCTATGATGAAAATTACAGGCCTCTCTCATCTTTTTAACTTGCACAATTGGTGGCTGACTAAATACTTTTTTTCCCCACTGTACATTGTTTTGTTTTGGGAGACTTATTTTCCTTGATTTATTTATATCACTGCTCCTACTGTGACTAATAGGTATGAAGAACGCTCTGTTTTAAAATAGGCCAACATGGACATTCAAAGTAACTGAGAAATGGTATTTGGGACCTGGAAATCTAAACACACACACGTACACACACACACACACACACACACACACACACACACACACACACACACTATATATGGATGTCGATTTAAGGCAGCCCCCCGCACCTCTCTGATTCAGAGTGGTTGGGTTAAATACGGAAGACACATTTCAGTTGAATGCGTTCAGTTGTACAACTGACTAGGTATCCCCTTTCCCCTTTCCAATATAAAATAATATGTCATCCTAGTCAACAGCCCCTCCACATTTCATTCAGCCCATTTATCATCTGTGCCAGGCTCCCATGGCAACTGTTCTAGACAACTGGACCACACCTGTTCTCTGTTGCTATTTCTGATCTGACTCGCCTGAGTGTCAGTCTGTTTGTGCTTTCATGCCAACTCCTTACCACTCAAAAGATGCCAGCAATGGATTTGGCAAGAACACAAACCTTTCTGGGAACAGGCTATCACATGGTTACTGTTGTGATCAACTAGACCACACCTAATCTGTGTTGCTATTTCTTACAGTCCTGAGGATTAAAAAATGCTGGGAGGAATCATGTTGACAGACTAGTCTTTGAGTTAAGGTCACAATAACCTTCTGTATTTTGCACATTATGATAATAGGCTGAATCTACCCCACACCCAAAGCTGATTTGTGAAGGTGCTGCAGGCAAAAGGCAAAACTGGAGAAACAGGAAAAAGTCTCTGCACACTTCCAGTGCCATTATGAAAATAAAGACTTTAAAGTCTTCCATGTTGCCCTATAAAGCCTAATTCATTTGGCCTACATCTGACTAGAGTGTATGTCAAATCTAATTGTTTCAGCCAATATATCTGAATATATTAAAATTTTACATTTGGTTACTTAACGACACTACCAGACACAACAAAGGTTACATAATAGGATAGACAGGCAATTTCATTGGATGTAGGCTACTGTCCATTTAGGAGTTGTTGTCAACCTCAGTTATGGAAAGTAAATTACCTATCCATGTACCAGGAACGGATTTGATTGGGTGTGTTATTAATTAATGACTCCTGGGCAGGATATTAAGCATTTGGCCTTTTTGATTGACCTCTACTGACCGTCTGGATGGCTCATTGAGCTATTAAAGAAGCGATTGCTGAGACAGGGGGCGCGTCAGGTAGGTCGCAGTTGAAAAGCCTAATGTGCGTGTTTTACTAAATTGTAGCCTATTTATGCAACATTTGTGCAAATATCTTAAGTAACCAATTTATGTCGTTCAATAATATTACAACACATGTTTTCTCGTCTCCAAATGTGTCTCGTCAAAAAATGTTCTACAGAACATACATAGGCTTACAGAATCAACGTGTATAAAATATGTGGGAAATATCTTGCGAAATATCTTGGGTAATGATTAACTCACCAATATTAACGGATGCATTGATATAGTAGCAGGCTCGCTTTGAGCAATTGTTATGTTTGAAAAGATTTTGATGGCTTAAGTTTCGTAAACAAAACTTTTCTAGAAAGTGCTCTGCACGATAATATAATACCATGGCACCCTCTGCCGGTTTCTTTTAGTTATTGTATGTCTATTGAATTACTTTATTAAATGTCGATGTCTATGACACATGTTGCAAATGTCAATATTAGAGAAACTCTATTTGCATTGCTTTACAAATACTTTGAATACCGGTAACAACTTTTGTGTTCAGGTATTTCTTTATGATTGTGTCAAAATAAACAATTAATCAATATATTAAGCCTATCCCTGTCTACCTGAATGTTGCCTCTGCTGTTTTGGTTGGCTTAGTAGTACTAATATAGATGCTAACCACTGCTTTATGTAGCCTAATAGAGACAGTTTATCATGGAGGACTCCACAGAATTCATCCTCCAGGATCAAGGCTCCAGGATGATCTATGGCAGTAAGGACAACCCCATCCTGACAGCTGCTACTGGGGCTTTGCTCGCTGGCCTCTACGGGATGTGGACTATGTTTGCCCTTCCTGGCTTCCGCAAAGTGCCAAGAAGACTCAAGGTACATCTCATTCACATGAATGTGTTCAGGCCCTATAACTGAACAGTGAAATCAATAAACAGTAATAAGCTTAAGAATGCTTTGCTGCTTGTCTTGGAATGTTCCATGTGTGCTCCATGGTGCCTTCAAATGGAGAAAGGGGTTTATGTGGTAAGTCAAATATTTTTAGAACAACAATTTGGTAAGTCTTTGGTAAATATTTTTAGGATGTTTTTTCCAATTACGCCATGATGCAGTGTTTTTGATTAATGGATCCTGTGCTACTCTCTTCACCATCAGTTCATCATCATCAGACAAGAGCACTTTATCGTCAGGCACAGTTGATCACGAATTGGGGTAATACAAACCAAGGGATTTGGGGGGTTCAGGGACATAAAGAATGGAAGATAAATTGGATTGCCACATGTTTTCAACCCTGGTCTTGTCTTGGCTTGGTCTTGGCTGGGTCATTGATGTCTCCATCTTGTATGTGCAAGGCCCTTTGCAAGGCTTTTTCCACCTCTGCAGCTGAATTGTTGACAATAGGATGTCTCCATTCAATCCCCTTGCCTTTGTTTTTCTACAGTAGTGCTGTATTAGGCTACAACTGTAAAACCTCAAGGGATAAGTATGTCCTACCTAGAACCAATTAAAGTGATATACAACTCAGTGGAGTCTCCCACAGTCCCAGTCTGTTTGTGCTACATGCCAACTCCTTGTCAATCATTGTCATGTTTGGCTTGACAATGACCAATGGAGTTGGAAAAATACAAACAGTTCTGGGACCAGGCTACCCGTCTCCCATATTATAGCCAATATTATTGACTGGCAATATTATTTTCATGCAGGTGCCTTACCTGCCCTCGAGTAAAGCTCAGATCGTAAACGCCATGCAGCTGCTGGAGGGACGCAGAGGCCAACTAGCTGATCTGGGATCAGGAGACGGGAGACTGGTGAGTTGGCTCTGGTGAAATAAAACTCTCTGCTATGAACAATAGAGGCTGTGTTCCAAATAGCACCCTATCCCCTATATTGTGTACTTCGTAGTGGACTATATAGGGAATAAGATGCCATTTGGGACACATACTGAGTCTGCCACTTACATTTCTCTCTGTTCTAGCAAGGGATCTTGTGTGGTGAGGACAACAAGCAACAGACAAATTATAGTGGAGTCACTCACTCTTTTGCTGCAGTGCAGTTATAGGTAGTTGTATGACTCAACTTCACTCTACCTTCTTGTCTTAGGTGTTTGCTGCCTACTCTGTTGGCCTCCAGTGCACTGGATTTGAGATCAACTCCATGTTGCTGGCATATGCTAGAGTGAAGGCACGCTGGAGAGGAGTACCACCCAGCCAGGCAAACTTTGTCAACAAGGACTTCTGGAAGGTACAGTATAGTTCTTTAACATCAATGTGTTTATTAGACACATACTCTTTACTAAATTAGTTTTCTCTCCTTCATTTGACAGACTGATTTGTCAAACTACAACAACGTGACTGTATTCCTAGCCCCAGGATTGGTTAGTGTTCTATTCACACAAGGCCGCCGCACAGCAAGAACAATTCCTGCTCTTATAATACGATAAGTCCTACAATTAGATTTGTATATATTATATTCAAACAGTCTTAACTCAGATAGAAATGATTAGGTGTGCTGGATCATTTGACAAGAGAGTGTTGATCTGATTGGTTGATGACTAAAACCAGCCTCTCTGATTGGTCCTCAGATGGAGGTGTTGGGTGAGAAGCTGCTGAGGGAGCTTCCTGATGACGCGCATATCATCGCCTGCCGCTTCCCCTTCCCCCAGTGGCCCCACCGAGCCTCGCAGGGCGACGGCCTCGACCAGGCCTGGGCCTATGACATCAGCACTGTGCGCTCAGCCCTGGGCCAGGCATGACCCTATGACATCATACTGTGCATCGATGACTGGATTAATCCTAATGTCATTCACTGGTTCACACCAAACCCAATATATGCTAATTAACACCCCAATCAAATGACAAACCCTGTATCGCCAACTGCGTCTTTCTTTGTATACATTTTGTTTGTTGATTTATTGAACAATATATGAAGGGTGAGGTGTGTGCCAAGCTTCATTGGTCAAACGTAAAGGAAGGGAATTATAAACATGTCCTTACACTGTGATTAAACCAGGTGCCAGATACTGTATGTCCTGTGAGAACAAATATGCAGAGCATTTGAAAGAATTATGTAAATTAGTCTTTCCCACTGTGGTGTGAAAGTAAGGTTGCAAACTGTGAGAAAAATTAATACAATTCTATTTTCTGGATGATGTTGACGACATTTTTTGTTCCCAGCTGGGTTATTGTCTTAGAAAATGCCCATTCTGTAGGCCTAGTCATTTTCACTTCCACTGAGTTCATACAGGAGGCTACTATGGAAAATGCTTGAAGAGCATTAGTTATCCAAGCTGATCACTGTACTGACCAGTCATATAGAGGTTAGAGCAGGACATACATTTGGCTGACTTCATATCATATCATCCCCACTCTTAACTAAAAAGGCACGTTAATTGTATTGTGTTTCCACATGCCAAGCAGGCAGGAGAGAGCAGAGGAACAGTAGTAGGCTGGTGAGGGAAGCATGGGTACATGGCCATGGGTACTCTGTGGTGTGCAGCTGAGCCCCCTGCAGGCTTTAGATCTGTGGGTTATGATCACATTGACCCAAGCTCCCTGTGGCGGGCCATGTGCTGCCTTAGAAAAGAAAAGAAATGGCACCCTATTCCCTACATAGCGCACCTCTTTTGACAATATATTTATGGGACATGGTCAAATGTAATGCACTGTATAAGAAATAGGGTGCCATTTGGGATGCACAAACCTTCCCACCTCCTGTGTGACTGCTTCTGTCTCCTGACTAAGGGTGGAGACATGCACGTGGAACGACAGGAGTTGGTTTAAGCATCCAGGAACTATGGTAATCTGCTCTGACATACTGGCAGATCCTAAAACTGTATTCCAACCTGGAGGACGTAAAACCACCACCTGATGGTGCTAGAACCTCAAATTAAGATCAGAGCGGCTGAGAGCCACAGTTGTATTAATTTACACTCACAATTTAGTAGCGTTTCTATATGCTGTAGCAATGCATATGATTTTACAACACATACTGTACATACAGAACACATGATTTAACCATTTGGTTTTCATTACTGATTCACCCAACTGTCAGATTTGATTAGTTGTTACCAATATTTTGCTTGTGCTTGATATAAGTGTGGTATGTGACACTGTCACACACCTTGACACTGAGTATATGGTGTTGATGATGATGTAATGGTAATGATGAAGATTCTAATGATGGTTATTATCAGCATTTATCATAGCAAGATTGGGTAAATATTTTCAATTTTATCCTTTTCCTTTATCATAACCATATAAACATCAGTCATTTGCATGCCAGCCCTGACTTTAGGGCGCTCTACCAGACCTCGTCAACTCCTCATAACAGAGGATTCTCTAGAGTGACGTCGGAGAGCCAGCCAGACAAGAGGGGGGGGGGTCTAGTCAATGAGACCAGGCTGCATATAAACCCAAACACCCAACCACTCTTGACTGCATTCAGAGTACGAGCAGCGAAGGCATCACCTCGCTATGGAATTACTGAGGAATATCGCTCAACAGCCGACGATTAGCAACAGGATGTGCGAGCCCAGCCAACACGGGTCCTGTGAACTGCGGAGAAAGAGAACCGAGGACCACGGTCATGCACCTGCAGAGATGTCGAGGATTGTCACGGATCCTGCCACCGGGAAATGTTACTGCCGTGGGAAAGTTCTGGGAAAGGTAGCCATCAGTGAATTACAGCAAAACGCAAATTACTCAAAGACAAGATTGTTCTTTATAAGTGTCTACTTTGGGAATAGTACACTGTTATTCCGAAGCATGCACACTTTAAATTAACCTGGTAAATATGCTTATCAATATGATTGTGTTATTTTCTTTTCAGGGAGGTTTCGCCAAGTGCTATGAGATGACCGACCTGTCCACGAGTAAAGTTTACGCAGCGAAAATTATTCCACACACGCGCGTCTCCAAACCGCACCAAAGGGAAAAGGTAAGAGCGCGCACCACAATGCATCATGTATTATAATGCCTATATAGATTGAAACTGAATGTCTTGGACTTTTGGATAATTAATGAATTGCTTTTAATCATCACTATGATATATCTTCTCCATAGATTGACAGGGAAATCGAGCTACACAGAGTTCTCCACCATAAACACATCGTGCACTTTTACCATCATTTCGAGGATAAAGATAACATCTACATCCTCCTGGAATACTGCAGTAGAAGAGTGAGTGTTACTGCTGTACTTGAATACTAAGCCTTTATTACTGAACTGGTCTGAGAAATTCCTGCATACAGTAGCAGCACCTCAAAACCACAGCCCTTGCTGGGCGCGCAGACATAAAATGGGAAACAAAAAATAATCCCATCTTTGGTTAATGTGAAAGAGATGTTCTTATTTTCCATAGACTGCCTTGACTGATCTAATATTTATTCCCATGTTATCTTTGTGCAGTCTTTGGCACACATCCTGAAGGCACGCAAAGTGCTCACAGAGCCTGAAGTGCGATACTACCTCCGTCAGATCATCTCAGGGCTGAAGTACTTGCATGAACAAGAGATCCTACACAGAGACCTCAAACTTGGTAAGCATCTGTGGCAAGACACACAATAGAAGCCAGAGTCGTTATCATTCAATCGGCTCTGCCAAGCACTATGCAGAGGGATTCAAACCTGCAACCTTCACCTGTCATGAACTGCAAACCAACCACTTTATGTTATCCATCACTCACATACAGTAAATGGTATAATATTTGTCATCTTCTTCTCCCGTCCTAGGTAACTTCTTTGTGAGTGAGTCGATGGAGCTGAAGGTGGGAGACTTTGGGCTGGCTGCCAAGCTAGAGCCTGCTGGGAACAGGAGGAAGACCATCTGTGGGACGCCCAACTACCTGTCCCCTGAGGTGCTCAACAAGCAGGGCCACGGCTGTGAGTCGGACGTCTGGGCCCTGGGGTGTGTCATGTGAGTACATTCTATTATATTTAGAGTTTTCTTTGTCAATAGACGGCGCTGTAAAATGACATTCCATATGTAAATACACTGTTATGACAACCAGTCACTAACTAAGTCTCTCCCCCTCCGTTCTCCAGGTACACCATGCTCCTGGGCAGACCCCCGTTCGAGACCACCAATCTGAAGGAGACGTACAGGTGTATCCGGGAGGCGCGTTACTCCCTGCCCTCCTCCCTGTCGCCCCAGGCCAAACAACTCATCTCCAGCCTCCTGGCCAAGACCCCGGAGGACAGACCTCACCTGGACCACATACTGCGCCATGACTTCTTCTCACAGGTGAGTTAGCTAGCCCTCTCTCAGCCTCTCTCTCTTGCTCTCTCTGTACCGGATGGAACATGAGACTGCAAATGTCGTTTTGTTTTAACATTCTGTTTCCTACTTATGATATGATTAATCATCTATCTGCACTTTTTCATTCTACTAACATCTCTCACTCTCCCCCTCTCTCCATCCTTCCAGGGTTTCGTGCCAGAGCGTCTCCCTGCTAGTTGTTGCCACTCCGCTCCAGAGTTCCACGTCTCCAGCCCTGCCAAGAGCTTCTTCAAGAAGGCTGCGGCCGCCCTCTTCGGCGGGAAGAGAGACAAGGTCAAATACTACGAGACTTTGAGTGAGTATATCAATCATTCACCTCGTAAAACAGCCTTAGCCAATGTCACCAATTATTAAATCAGTTAGTATTTGTTTGCCTAATAAAAGGATATTAAACAATGTTGCTAATTAATAAGTAGTGATAAAAGCTGTGGTGTCGTAAATCCACTGATGTATCATGATCGTTTTTGGCAGAGTTCCTGTATGAATGAGAGGCTGCAGGGTGAGGCCATCCAGAATGTATGCTGACTGTGTGTGTTGTTGGTAGATAAACTCACCAAAGAGGAAGAGGAGATCTACAAGCTTCGACATGACCTGAAGAAGACGGTCATCAGCCAGCAGCAGCAGAGCAAACAGATGACTGAGGTGAGAAGCTCATCACTCTCTATTTGACCATGATAGTCATGATAAAATAAAATAGAAACTCAAGTTAGGGGAGTAGTGAAAAGTCATATTATGGAAAAGTCCTTGTATGAGGAAATGCTGAATCATGATAAAGGAAAGTGTGAGGCCATGTTATGTAACCCCTCCCTCTTTCTCCTCCCCTCAGGATGGAAGGCCACCGTCACCATCTGCTGGGAGGCCTGTTGCCCCGGCAACAGAGGGCCTGCCCCTGACGACGCGAGACACCATCCGGCTTATCGTCAGGGGCAGTCTGGGAAGCTGCAGCAGCAGTAGCGAATGTCTTGAGGACAGCACCACTGGCAGTGTGGCTGAGACAATCACCAGCGTTCTCAGAGGATGCCTGGAAAACATGCCGAAAGGTAAGCCAAATGCACTTATAATCCTGGAGATGAGACACGAGTTTGTTGAAATAAGGCAGGTACAGTGTAATTACACTGTAGTACTTACTACCATGTAAAGAAATGATTCCAACACCAATTTAACTAAATATGGTCAAGTGGGACTCCCTTTGTTATTACACATGGTTGAATTGTGTTTTAATCACAAATACCTTTCTCTCTCTAGCGGATGACATCCCCAAAGGGACAGAGTGTGGTAACCTGCAGTGGGTCACTAAGTGGGTGGACTACTCCAACAAGTATGGCTTTGGCTACCAGCTCTCAGACCACATAGTGGGCGTTCTGTTCAACAACGGGACACACATGAGCCTCCTCGCAGACAAGAAGTACGTACTCTGTTCTCTTTATCACACAATACATCACTCATACCTTAGTTGGAGATTGTTTAGGCTGTATGGGTTTTAACATTCAGCAGTCTGACTGAACATCAAAGTGCTTGATGGGTGTAAATAAACAGAAGTGGAAAGTATTGCTGGCTTCAGCTGTAAAAGTCAACAAAAAGTCAGAGACAAAGAAGGTCTGTTAAATACATGAAATACGTCTGTTTGGCATGCATCTTGTCCTTCAGAAGCCTGCAAGTGTTTATTTTGGTTGTTAACTCTCTTTTCCCTCTGTCTCTTTTCTCTGTCTGTAGGACTGTCCACTACTATGCTGAGTTGGGTCAGTGCTCTGTGTTCTCCACATCTGATGTGCCTGAGCACTTCGTAGGTCAGGTGACCGTCCTGAAGTACTTCGCCCACTACATGGAAGAGAACCTGATGGATGTAAGTATTCCCCATATAGCTTCTAGCCTCTCCTCTCATCCTCGATTCCTATCTTCCTTTCCTGTTGTTCCTATCTTTGGCAATCTCTCTATTCTCTATCCTCTCAATAATTTCTTCCTACTGTTACCATCTCCTAAAAAAATCCTCCTTTCCTGTCCTTTCTCCCTCTACCTCCCGGTCCTCCACTCCACTCTTCTTTCCTGCCCCCCTCTCCTTTCCTGTACTGCTCTCTCCCTCTGTCGTCTTTCCTCTCCTCCTTCTCTTTCGTTTTTCCTAGTCTTCTCTCAGTCTAATGATGAACCTGTTCCTGTGTTTGCTGTGTAGGGTGGAGACCTGGTGAGCCAGGCAGACACACACATGCCCAGACTCTACCTGCTGCAGTGGCTCAAGTCTGACCGTGCCCTCATGATGCTCTTCAACGACGGCACATTTCAGGTAAACACACTCATCATCACAGCTAAAATAGACATTACTCTCAGCCAAGAAACACATGACACAGTGCAGCTATGGTAAATCCACAGAACACTTAATGGAAATGCATGACACATACATCAGCTATTCAAATCAGTTATTGTGTTGTATAGACTCATAGATAGATTTTCAGATAAGCACCCAAATGTACTTCAAACAGATGGCACATTTCAGGCACACTGGTCATCAGTTTCCCAAGGGGGTCAAATATGAGACAATCTACAGTAATATTGGTATTATGCTATTTGTTGTCCTGTCAGTACTTTATTAAACCGTATATATCCATATCTTTCTTTAACAGGTCAACTTCTACCACGACCACACCAAGATCATCCTGTGCACCCAGAGGGAGGAGTACATGCTGACATACATCAACGAGGAGCGTGTGTCCTCCACCTTCAGACTGAGCTCTCTGCTCACCTCCGGCTGCCCCACAGACCTACGCCAACGCATGGAGTACTCACTCAACATGCTGCTGCAGCGCTGCAACTGAACCAGGAAGCAGCACCACGCGGGGGACCGTTTATACGGACGGACAGACAGACTTCCTTCAACATGCTACTGCAGCACTGCAACTGAACCAGGAAGCAGCGCCAGGTGGTGGGACAGTATATGGGGTCAGACCTGTGTAAAGCAATGGACTACTGATTGGTAACCTTTGCCAATCTATCAGCAGAGGTGCAGCTGAATCTGGATGGAGAGACTCTGAAAAGGACAGTGGAGAGAAAGAGCATGTATAGAGCACAAGTACTTTGAACAGAAAAGGGCTGATGTGTATGTTGATAATCAGAGGATAAAATGACTGATGTTATGTTATGATGAGGGGATGGAGGTACGAATGTGAAAACCATCTGTTTTTGAGGAAGAGTGAAGTAAAGTGGACAGGAACACTGGGCTGGAACCAGATAAAACTGTTATGTTGTTGTTTCTGTTGTTGTTGTTTTTCTAATGAAAGTAGAACCATAAGGGCTGATGGATGCTTCAGGTGTAAGTGGAGCTGGACTAGAGCAGGATTTCCCAAACTCAGTCCTGGGGCCCACCCTGGGTGCACGTTTTGGTTTTTGCCCTAGCACTACACAGCTGATTCAAATAACCAACTCATCATCAAGCTTTGATTATTTGAATCAGCTGTGTAATGCCAGGGCAAAAAAACCACAGGGGGGGCCCCAGGACTGAGTTTGGGAAAACCTTAGACTAGAGGACTGTAATGTACACAGCACTTCTGCAGAGCAGAGGGAGGGGAGAAACACTAGCTGACTTCAAACTGTGATTCATTCTCTGTGAGGACAGATGGACATGGCTGTGTAAGGCTGTGAAGGAGGGGGAGAATGATGTTGATCATACAAGAAGAGCCATTACACTGTTAGACATTAGAAAAAAATAACTTATTGTGTACAAAAGTGCAGTATTTAATAAATATACAACTTTTTCAAAAAATATATACTGCGATATGACTGAGTTATTGGGGTTCTCACAGATCAAATGGTCTGTCTTTGTTTTAGGTGTTTTATTTCAAGCGTCTACGGTCAAAGATTGCTATGAAATGGTTGCTATTCTTAGAGATACAATGAACTACCTGTCTTAGTGAAACTCTCCTCAGGTGTAAAACGTTTCCCAGGTGTTTTGATAAAGACCTTTGAAATACTAACAGAACGAATTCAACAAAGACTCAGGGAATACATTGTACTTTACAAACCCTCTTACATTTACATTCCTACAGTTACATTTTTACTAGTTTCCCATCATGTCAGCAGTTTCTAGCGCACTCACGTGTCAGAGAACAGAGGAGGGAGACTTGAGTGATGTAAGGGAGACGTGAGGGTCTGTTTAAAAAAAATCTTATTTCACCTTTATTTAACCAGGTAAGCCAGTTGAGAACTGGTGCATTGAGGAAGCTTGACGATGACGATGATTCGTGCAGCATTGGTCACATCGACGTTGCAGTTGGAAAATAACACAATACTTATATTTCCTCACAGTAAATAGCTGCTTGAATTGGTTGTTGAGATGGATGAGGGTGGATGAGGTTGAGGGTGGATGGATGAGGGTAATGCTTGAGAATATACTGAATTTATACTGTCAGATTGTCCATTCTTTTGCTTTCTCAATTGATAGCTGTTCAAACGAAAAGTTGCTTTGTAAGGACAACCCCCCACACACTATCAGACACACATCAGACCACATGACCACTGTCGAGGATAGTGTACCAAATGATGCAGTCCACACCATGTATCATTCACATCATCAGCCCTCATTTGCTGAGAGTTTGGAGCTTCGCCAGCCACATTGCCCTCCGCACCACCCTCCTCAATTCCCCCCACAACCTCCCTCCCAGGCTAGTTTTGGTTACCCTCCCTACTCCCATCAACAGACTGCCCCCCATGGCAGCCCCAACCCTGCAACGGGAGCCACACCATGGCCTCCTGTGCACACCCAGAATGGAGCATCGGCAGACACTCCGGTCCCCTGCAGCAGCTCCACTCCTTTGGCGGGAGCTTCATCTGGGTGGACTGAGCTCTGCCAACACTGCTCACCCAGTTCGCGCCCCAGACCCTACATCCAGCGACTTGAGGGAGGTCTGTCGAATGCTCAGCCTGCTCTGCTCTCATGTGGTTGGCCAGGGACCTTGGCAAAGTCTCAGCTCAACAAATAGCTGCAGATGACCCTATGCCTGTTAGCTCTTATGGTAATGAGCTGAATACCCCCTCTTACTTTAAATCTCGCAGGGGCTTGGGCTAATGCACCTAAATGTGGTAAGTATTATTACAAAATGGACACAATTGACATTTGGGTACAGGACTCGTGTCCTGACATTCTGGTTCTCTCAGAAATATGGTTGAATGGTTCTGTATCTGATAAAGACATTGAAGTAAATGATTATAATGTATTTAGATGTGACAGGTTACAGAAAGGGGGAGGAGTGGCCATATATGTAAAATCAAATTTCTTGGCGTCCCAATCTTGAAATACTTCTATTCCCAAGAAATTTGAGCTCCTTGATGTTGATGTGTCCATAAACCAGAATACACAATTATTTGTTGCTGGGATTTAGCACCCCCCCTGCTGCCATGGCGGATTCCTATTGGAGCTATATCTGAGTGTTTAACACCTTTTCTGTCCTTGGAGTTGATCATTTTAGGGGACTTGAATCTGGATTGGCTATCCCCGGCCTCAGATCAATTAAATAGTATACTGTATGCATTGATTTTAATCAGACTCAATTGATCTCAAAATCGACACGGCTAAATGTGAAAAACCCTGTTAACTCCTCATTGATTTATTTAATTATTACTAATAACCCACATAAATATTTGTCTAGTGGAGTTTTTGCATATGATCTTAGTGTCACGATCGTTGAGAGACGGGTCGGACCAAGGTGCAGCGTGAAAAGCGTACATGTTTATTAACTTGACCGGAGCTGGACTGGACCCCGGTGGAGCGGAATGCTCTGACTCCGGAATGGAGCCGCTGACCGGAGCTGGATCAGGCACCAGTGGAGCGGATTACTCTGGCTCCGGAGTGGAGCCGCTGACCGGAGCTGGACTGTACCCCGGTGGAACAGGCCGGGCCGGACTGGGGACACGCACCACTGGTCTGGTGAGAGGAGCAGGAACGGGCCGGGCCGGACTGGAGACACGCACCACAGGTCTGGTGCGAGGAGCAGGAACGGGCCAGGCCGGACTGGGGACACGCACCACAGGTCTGGTGCGAGGAGCAGAAACGGGCCGGGCCGGACTGGGGACACGCACCACTTGTCTGGTGCGAGGAGCAGGAACGGGCCAGGCCGGACTGGGGACACGCACCACAGGTCTGGTGCGAGGAGCAGAAACGGGCCGGGCCGGACTGGGGACACGCACCACTTGTCTGGTGCGAGGAGCAGGAACGGGCCGGGCCGGACTGGAGACACACACCACTGGTCTGGTGCGAGGAGCAGGAACGGGCCGGGCCGGACTGGGGACACGCACCACACGTCTGGTGCGAGGAGCAGGAACGAGCCGGGCCGGACTGGAGACCGGCACCACAGGCCTGGTGCGAGGAGCAGGAACGGGCCGGGCCGGACTGGGAACACGCACCACAGGTCTGGTACGAGGAGCAGGAACGGGCCGGGCCGGACTGGGAACATGCACCACTAGCCTGGTGCGGGGAGCAGGTACGGGGCGTACCGGGCTGGCGACACGCACCACTGGTTTGGTGCGAGGAGCAGGTACAGGCCGTACCGGACTGGATACACGCACCACTGGTTTGGTGCGGGGAGCAGGTACGGGCCGTGCCGGACTGGATACACGCACCACTGGTTTGGTGCGGGGAGCAGGCACGGGCCGTACCGGACTGGGAACACGCACCACTGGCTTGGTGCGAGGAGCAGGCACGGACCTTACCGGACTGGGAGCACGCACCACTGGCTTGGTGCGAGGAGCAGGCACGGATCTTACCGGACTGGGAGCACGCACCACTGGCTTGGTGTGAGAAGCAGGCACAAGGCATACCGGACTGGGAACCGGCGCTGGAGGTCTACGACTGTACCAGTCCTTTACTCTCTGCGCCCAATCCTCCTCCAGTGAGGACTCCTCCGGGAGCCCCCACGAGTTAGGGAACAGAAACTCATCATCGTCGTCATCCTCCGTCATCCTCCGACTCAGTGTAAAACTGTTCCCATTCCTGTTCCCATGGTCGTAGGGACTCAAACTGGAACCCCACCGGGTGCAGTGGTTGGTGCTCTTCTCTCTCGATCCCCGACCACCCCTTTAGCCCCCACAAAAAATTATTGGGGCTGCCTCTCGGGCTTCCTCCTCGGCCGGCGCCGTCGGTGTCGCCGTTGCTCCTCTCTAACCCGGGATTCCTCTGTTTGTTCCCAAGGACGGCGATCCATCCCAGCCTGGATCTCCTCCCATGTCCAAGATCCCTTACCATCCAGGATCTCCTCCCATGTCCAGGCTGGCCACGCTGCTTGGTCCTCGTTTGGTGGGATCTTCTGTCACGATCGTTGAGAGACAGGTCGGACCAAGGTGCAGCGTGAAAAGCGTACATGTTTATTAACTAAATAAACATTCAACAAAACAAGAAACAACATAACGTGAAGTCTAAAGGGCTATACACATACCAGCCTAACAGGAACAAGATCCCACAATACACAGTAGGCAATAGGCTACCTAAGTATGATCCCCAATCAGAGACAATGAGCGACAGCTGCCTCTGATTGGGAATCATACCCGGCCAGACATAGAAATATACTACCTAGAACATAAACATAGAAAATATAACATAGATTCCCACACCCTGACTCAACAAACAAGAGTTCTATAGGTCAGGGCGTGACACTCAGTGATCATTGTCCCATAGTATGTATTAGAGCTACCAAACAGCAAAATACTAATCCTTGTTTAATTAAGAAGATACATTTTAAAATGTTTTCTCCTCAAGGGTTTTTACATGACATGTTCTACTCTGATTTAGCTACTGTATTCCTGACCCTGAGTTGGCTCTAGAAAATGT